TTTTAGGTTTATAATCATAACGTGTACTTGTCATTTTTTGAGCTGATGATCTAATGTTAACATGCTTATGATGTTTAAAGTAACATATACTTTTCTCTTTTTGAGCTCTTGGTCGTAAATTATAGTTTTCAGCCTTCAACATTTTTAGTTTTCAACTTTCAAGTTTATTATTGCTATACTTTTCAGCTTTAGGTTTTTAATAGTAACTTATACTTTTCAGTTTTGGAAATTATGATCGTAACTTATACTTTTCAGCTTTTAGGGTGTTAATCATAACGTGTGCCTGTCAGTTTTTGAGCTTTTGATCGAAAATTATACTTTTTCGCCTGCAAGTTTGATCTCAACTTTTACTTTTAGTCTGTATGTTTAAAGTATTGTTTATTTCTAGTTATAGTTTTCGAAATTTTTTATTGTAGAACATGAACAAACAAAACAAAAATATTTAACTTATATGGTTTAAGGGCCACAGTGGGGGCCGCGATAGCCGAGTGGTTAAGGCGTCAGACTCTCGGCTAGTAGATCCCGCGGTCGTGGGTTCGATCCTCACCGTCGCCTCTGGACTTTTTCTGACGCCTAAGGGGACCGGTTTCCCTTTGTCCATGTGGACTGGAAAATGATGTTGTTTGTTTGGTCTTTGACCTTTTTGACAGGGATAAATCAATTATTAGTTGATTTTTTTCTAGGACGCACCGTACAGAAAGTGAAATAGTACAGGAGACAATATTCAATGAGTTTTATTGCTCACAACTGATTTATTCTTACATCGTAAATTCTCACATCCAAAATATTATTACACACTTTTGTTTTTATTTATTACTAATATTAACGTAGTAGTTTCCGGATACGACACGCACAAGCGATTTAACTCAGTTTAACCGCTTATTTATTACAGCAGGCTAGAAAGTAAAGTTTTATTAGTTCATTAATTTTTGAGTCTAAGTTCCTCGAGAATCAAGAACGTACAAAATTAAACGGCCACGAATAGGATCCAGCGTAGTGGGTATTTATTTTTTACAAGAAAAGACGCCTGTAAATTACTAATTACCTCCCTTGATTGGTTCTAACAATTTCCCACCTTTTCTTTTTCTTTGGTAGAAGTGTAGCAATCGAAAGTACAAAACGTTGGCTGGCCAGTTTTCCTGTAATTATTGGTTTTATTCAACCTAATTAAACCTTAATTTTTAGCTAGTATGGACTGATTTTGTTAAAATAGACATTAGTTGATAAAAGAGAAATTATTAATTAAAAGGAATTTATTAAGTTAAACAAAAAATATTTATGGGAAAAAAACAGAAAATTTATTTAAAAAAAGGGGGAATAACTAATTAAAGAAAAAATAATTACACAATATCACAATTAGAAAAAAATGTATACACAATAAAACAAAAATTATAAAAGATTTTGTCAAAATACAATAGTTTTTGAAAGATATTGGGATTTCGCCAGAATAAAATAAATAAAAATAAACAAAAGTTCAATATTAGATAGATATTTTATTGCAATCGCAACTTTTATTGTATGCAAGTGTCATTAATTAATTTTCTTGTATTCTGGATTTTTAAGAAACATTACATTCAGATTCATTTAAAAATGGCAAAAAGGAGGGAAAATTAAAAAAAAAGGTGGGGTTGAGATGGGAAGTTAGTGTCCGAGTGGATCGAAGTCACGATAGCTCAAGTGGTAGAGTAGCGGCGTATCAAGCCGAAGGTCGTGGGTTCGAATCCCGCTCGTGACACTGGCTTTTTTATCTCAACTAAATACCTTCATTAATTGAATTACTTTTAGGCTTTTTCCAAACGTCGTTCCCAAACTTCCAGGATAACAATATTCTTATTAATTATTCGTAACGATTTAATGGTTAAAAATTTTGAAAAATTAATTCTCTCTGAGTACGTTTAAATGTTCTAAATACGGTGGCTTTTTATGAGTTAACAGTCTTGTACTAAACAAACACAATTAATCTTAATAGCGTTTCAAGAACAAAACGATTAAATCAACGATTGTTTGCCAAGGGCTGAGAGATCTTTGCAAATGTTAATTACACAGGGAAATAATTCTTAATTGACAAAATAAAAATATAATTTCTTCTTAAAGCCCGCCCATGGAAATAAATTATCTTATGACTTTTGTCAGAACAATGAATGTGATTTATTGCTAAGGAGGAAAGGTGCCAGGGGTGTTGATTTATCACCATTATCCCTTATCTAGACCTCGTCTCCAGTTCCAATGTTAACAACATTACTCGTTCTTAATCAAGTCCAAGAATATCCAAGGTTGTTCCTAATGCTGATGAACCCTCGAGGGATGAACGCCATTGACAAAACTCGTTTAGCTTAATACTTAATCTTTTTAACTATGAGAAAGCAATGATGCACAAACATATCCCATTACAATTGTAAAATTAGACTAGTAAGATTTCTTCTGTCTGCTGTCTGCGGGATGATAAACCTGTAACGTATAACTTTTGGCCTGTCAGACGAGTTTCGGTTTTTCGTAATCTTCAGCGACGGACTCGACTGGAAACCCTAAAAATGACCGCTTTACAACAGAAACTTATGAAAAGTACAAGACTGACGAAATAATTCATAGACAACTCTATCAGTCAATCAGAGAGATTAGGCAGACCTGATCCAATGGAAGAATCATATAACAGACCCGGACATTTTCTACCATAATTCAAAGACGCTGAATGACCCAATTTTGTATACGGCTTAATATGCTACGCATAAGGCAAAATAAATGACCCCTGGCTGTTAAAAACTTACAAAAAGACACGATAGACGAAATAACCAACAGACTAACCACTGAATGCCAAAAAGAGTCTGACAGGCAACTGTCATCATACAGGTCATCGCACTCTCGCAGGTTCATGTCTATCAATTCATAGTCTGTGTGTTATTTCGTCAGTCTTGTCCAATTCTAAAGTTAAAAATTAAGCTAAAGAGCTTATTTTCAGAGTTGATATATTTCTGTTGCTTATTATGCTTATGCTTATTCGTGATCATGTCTACCTAGTCTCACTGGGTATGTCTGCCGGACGTTTCCTCATTTCACTATATTAGTTGGTCTATGTGTTATTTTGTCATTCTGTAACGTAAAGTCAGAATTTCACGGTTTGTTAGACATTTGTTCAGTTAATTATTAGGTTCATCATCCAGATCCTACTCTCGCTTATTACTTTTAAACATTTCGGCATTTCATCATATCCAGTTTTTGGTCCGTGTGTTATTTTGTCAGGTATGCCCTTTATATAAGTTGATAAAGCAAAGTGAGCATAATCAGGGTTTGATAGAATTTTATTCCATTCGATTATTGCATAATCATCTCCTTACGTCTCTGAATAAGTAATCTTTGGATGAGTCCATCAGTCCTTTCGTCATTTCATTATTTTCAGTAGTTAGTCTGGGTGTATTTTTGTCAGTTGTGTCCTTTAAGTAAGTTTGTAAAGTAAAAAAAAATTCATGATTTGTTTTGCATTTGTCATAATCTATAATGGCGGTCTATCTAGCCTCGCAGGTTATCTTTGTCAGAGGTTTCAACATTTCATCATCTTCAGTAATTGGTCTACGTCTTATTTTTTCAGTCAAATCTTTTTATATGTTTGTAACTTGAGCATTCTAGGTTTTCTTATCAATTTGATTAGAACAAGTCGGTTACTTTCTTAATCAATCAGTTCTACCTACGTTCGTTGGTTATGCTTCAAGGACATTTTTGGTATTTCGCCATCGCCATAGCTTGTGTGGTATGTCGTCATTCGTGCTTTTTTGTAAGTTTATAATTTGCAGTGTTTAGGGATAGGGATAATTGACGACTCGAATAGATCTATGGTGGTCTCCTGTGTTTTATAATTCACTGGCCAGCTTCAGGTCATCAGCCTCCATAGGTTTGCCAGAGGCTCCTTAGTATAGGACCTTGCTTGTGGTTTTTCCTGTCCTAATTGGTTCTTGCATGCACATGCACCTACATAAACCTTCAAAGAAACATAAAATTGTTCTGCACAGTGTTTCTTCTGACTGTACTCCTATCGGGTGCATGTGCTTTCTTAACTGGCAATGTCCTTTCAGGAGTCCAATCAGAATCCTGGTCCGGTTGCGGCTGCCTTCCAGTAATTCTTTCATAAATTTTGCGGATGTTCCTTTTAGCGTGCCACATACCTGTGGTATAGTTCCACCAAGTTTTGGAATCATTAAAGATCCATTTTAAGATGTATCTTCTGTTGTGGAAGGATGATGTATCCTCTCGCCCAGTAGGGTTCAGGACCCAGAGAGTTCATCTTGGCCCCCGCTTTGGCCGACATGTCAACCTTTTCGTTCACGTCAACCTCTATGCCCTTATTCCAGGGACCCATGCCTGGGTCAGGTCACGTCCGTCAGGGCCTCCATGCATTGCCTTCAGCTACCATGAGGCTAGGGCGTTTTAGAGCTGCCTGACTGTCAAAGAAGATGGCTATCTTCCGGGAATGTATTCCTAGCATTTTTATGTATCTCGCGCAGTGTTCAATCGCCATGAGTTCAGCCTGGAAAACTGTAGCATATTTACCTAGGTTTACCGTCAGTGCGGTCTTTGGATTTATCCCGAAAACTCCAGCTCCCCCCCTACTCTTGTCGGTTTTAGAGCCGTTAGTTTGCCTTTTGCGGGTTTTTTCTGACATTTCCGTGGTTATTGAGCACCTTTGAATTACTGAAGAAAAAGTCCAGGCCTGTTTGATGTTTCTTTCAGTAGGATCATCCAGCTCTGCCTAGACTCTCTGCTTGTCTGTTAGACGTCCCGACATAATCAGAAGTTTTTCTGTGTGTTGTTTTGTCAATCTTGTCCAATTCTTAAATTTGAGTGACATTCCAGTCGGTTATTGAGCTTATTGATCATCCAGGTCTACTAGCTTCTTTCAATATATCTGTCAGACGATTGGAAATTTCACCATATGTTATTTTGTCATCGTGTCCTTTACAAAAGTTCATATGGTAAAAATATTTTTGCCAGTACTACAATGTGTCAATCAATGTGTGTTTTTTTAAATGAAAATTCGTCCTACAATTCGTTAACTTTTATAACAAATAAATAATTAATAATTACACAGCTGGATTAATATGCAATTTGTTCAAGGTGGGTAAACGGTTTCAGGAGAGCAAGGTAAAAATAATTAAACCCTAACGTCGTGTTTATACGAATTTTAAACTAATTTGTGTCTGGTAGGGTTTGCAATTTTCCTGTGACGATAAGCTCTACTTTGGTTATTGAGTTAGAAACCCAATTTCTATGACTGTCCCTTTTTTAACCGGATCTCGGCGAACCCTAGATACAGGAGAGTGAAAAACAATATGTTCAAAAATTGTTACAGCCTGAGACGTGATGTAAATATTTAGTGAATTATTTTCAATTCAAATAATTTCCATAACAAGGGGGGCTTTTTATTGCCTCAATCCATTTTCGCAGGTGTACAAATCCTGAGACGATTTTAGTCAATTGCGTAAACATCGGAGTGGGATAAAAGCGTACAAGACCGGCTGAAAAAGTTTCTTTCAATCCACGTAGATTTTTGAGAAAATTTATTCAATTCTGGTCTTAAAAATTGGAATTTGGAAAGGCGTTTTTTTAACTCTTTAACGGCTCCACTCATATCTTAACTTGAAAGTTTTAAACCTTTGAAAAAGTTAGTACAACTAAATTAAAATCTCGTAACAAGGTATTCATTCTTTTTAAAAAAACTGGATGAAGATAGTATATTTAAATATAAAATTTACAATTGTTAAACATTGCGATAAATATTACTGTATTATTTACTAATCTGGCAAGCCTTTACATTCAAATAAAATTATCTTTTCTATATATTTCATAAATAAATATTCATCCCTTTTAATCATAGTTAATGGAACAATAATATATTTTAAGTTTTAGGTGTATCGACTACGTTTTTACTCATGAATAATCTGGATCTTGGCTTGATCTGGATGTAGAAACAAATTCAATTGTTACTGCAAAGCTTCCAACAAGATCTAGATTATTCGTGGATAATTTGTATTATAGGTGCCCCTTGTTCAGAGAAAGGTTGTTCCATGTGTCATAACAGAGGCGTGTCATGCCTTGGCTCCATACAGAGAGCGTGTAGGCATGCCGCCGGATTTAAGAATGGTTCTCGGACACGGTAGCCTGATTCAGGGTCTCCTGTTCCGCTTTTTATGATAATAGGGGATTTTTTTTATTGTGTATATTCGAATCCCGCTCGTGCCATTGACTTTTTTATCTCAACTAAATACCATAATTATTTGTGTGAATGCGTATTGAATGTGTGATGTTATATTTCGCATGCGCTCGGGGGTGAAATGACCAAGCTGTCGGATGGTCTAAAAAAAATATTGCCAATTACAACTAAAAAAAGGTTTTATTTTTATATAAAATTGTTATAAATACAAGTTTTTTTATCCAGTTATTTTTATATAAATTAATTAAATAATGATTGCTATCTTCCAGACAATTTCATCGAGATGAATTTTGTTCTTTGTGTTTTTTATGTGCATTTTTATGAAATAATTTTGTAATAAACTAACGTTAAAAGTTTAATAAAAAAAAGTTATTTCTGTCGAATAAGGGTCGGTAAGTGCGTCATACCAAGTCCAACAATTTTTATCGCGTCATCACCCTTGGGTTATACGATTTGTAAAAAAGAAAATCCAATTTCTGCTTACTAATGCAAACCGTTTTCCTTGATAGTATTCGATGGATTGAAGGTCGGTAGAAAAGGATTCCCTGAGAATCCGACCAAATCCAACACCTGTTGTTATAGATCCACTTGTCATTCGGATTTTCCAAATCCTCCTAAAAGAACGGTTCGTTGACTCGAAAACCTACCTCTTAGCCGATGTTTTGTTTTTATCGGTTTATTTTTAATTTTTTTCATTTTTCCAGATTTTTCTTTGTCATACAAGTATTAAACGTTCGATGCTGACATACTTAATTTAAAAATCCGAGTGAGAAATAACCCGACTATAATTTTATTTCAATTATCATACTGATACCATCTCGCCAGTAAAATCCATTCTAGAAGTCCAACGTTTTGAAAACGAACGAATGTTAAAACCGTCATCATCAAGCTTGGGCAATAATGGAATGAAAGGGAGCAATAAACGTTTTTACGGCTGCGGATTGTAATACGGAATATGCCATAAAACCTTTGCGTCCTTCGTGGTGAAAAAGAAGAAAAACAAATGTATATAACGGCGATATTGTTTTTTGTGAAAGAGATGTAAAAATTTGGGTTTCCATTTCAAAGAGGCATCGTGAATTACACCCCTTTATTAAAATGAAATATTCTTCTAAGTCATAAGAAAGTCTGTATGTCACTATAATTCAGTGAAACAAAAGGAAATAAATAAATCAGAACGTATAATAAAATAACTGAAGATTATCAGCGGCAATTATACATTCAAAGACTGAAAATTATATGTTACAACCACAATATGACTAAACGACTGAAAAATATAACTTACATTTATAATTATAATTATGATTATAAACCTAAAAGCAGAAAAATATTTTTTTAAAATTAATTTATTTGCAGCCTTTACATATTTTCACATATTACAAATATGATCACAGTTTTTATTCACGCTGTCAAAAAACTAACACTAATGCTATCGCTGCACCCGGAGGACACCTGCCATGAGAATGCCAATGCTGGCACTCAGTGTGAAGGATTAAGTGGCAAAGAGGTCTCGAGGCCATCTTCGATAAATACGACGTAGTGGCGTGGTGTAGAGGGGCTCAGACAGTTGGGTTGGGTTGGATCGAGAGGTTACTATTTTATTTTTGGAATCGGAACGGATCAGTTCGTTGACAAAAGGAATGTTAGGTTGGTGTGGTGAGGTTAAGAGTTTAGACGATTTGTCTGAGGAGTTTTGATTGGAAGGATTGCGCTGGATGTTGGATGGCTAGGCAGAAATCACAGTTCAACTCCGTATGTCCAAAGTGGTCGCAGTAAAGTAAGGTTAGGTCTTAGAAGTCTTCGTATTTGTCCAGCACAATCGCCTGGTACGATAAGCGACAATGTCCGGACGTGGCAAGGGAGGAAAAGGTTTGGGTAAAGGAGGCGCCAACCGTCACAAGAAGGTATTGCGTGACAACATCCAAGGTATCACCAAGCCCGCTATCCGTCGTCTCGCCAGGCGAGGTAGGGATCAAGCGTATTTCCGGCATGATCTGCGAGGAGACTCGTGGCGTATTGAAAGTTTTCTTGGAGAACCTGATCAGAGACGCAGTTGTATTTGTCCATCTCTTCTGCTAAGTTGTTATCTTTTAAGTCTCGGGGATACCATGTCAGTTCGCGGTCTAAGTATTTGACTCAAAATCAAACTCAAAAAGTGGAAGTTCAATCTACGTACATAAGCTCAGAAAGTAGAAAGTATAAGTTACAATTGTGCGCTTAAAATCTGAGGGAGTATAAGTAGCAATTATAGACTTTAAAGCTGAAAAGTATAAGTTTCCATCATCACCTCAAAAAATAAAAAGCATACGTTACGATTATAAACCTAAAAGCTGAAAAGTATAAGTAACAAGAAAAACATTATAAACCTAAAAACTGAAAACTACAATTTACGACTATTAGCTCAAAAAATGAAAAGAATAACTTATCATTATAAACCTAAAAGCTGAAAATTATAAGTTACGATCATAATCTCCAAAACTGAAAAGTATAAGTTACTATTATAAACCTAAAACTGAAAAGTATAGGTAGCAATAATAAACTTGAAAGTTGAAACCGAAAAATGTTGAAGGCTGAAAACTATAATTTACGACCAAGAGCTCAAAAATTGAAGAGTATAAGCTACTTTAAACATACAAACTGAAAAGTAAAAGTAGAGATCATAAACTTGAAGGCGAAAAAGTATAATTTTAGATCATAAGCTCAAAAAATGACAGGCACACGTTATGATTATAAACCTAAAAGCTGAAAAGTATAAGTAACGATCACAATCTCCAAAACTGAAAAGTATAAGTTACTATTAAAACCCTAAAGCTGAAAAGTATAGGTAGCAATAATAAACTTGAAAGTTGAAAACTAAAAATGTTGAAGGCTGAAAACTATAATTTAACACCAAGAGCTCAAAAAGTGAAAAGTATAAGTTAAGATCATAAACCCGAAAACTGAAGAGTATAAGTTCCTATTATTGTAGCTACAACTTTCGAGAAATGCTTGCTACTGCGGCCAAGGCACTCTGTCAGTCACTTTTTTTTTTTTTAATAGGGGATTCGTTATCTTGTTTGTTATACCCTCCCACACGTGATAAATTAAAATACACACATAATATTTACACATTTTCATAATTCACATTCATACTAATTTACTAACCTATACTACAACTAAATTNTTTTTTTTTTTTGCTCTATTGTTCCTGGAAGTTACTGGCTAGTACTAGGTTCAAATAAGCAGGACAAAGGCATCAGAACCTGTCTCAACTTGGCCTTTTTTACGGAAAGAATATTCCATATAATATAAATATCAGGTCCGTTTCCTTTTTTTTTGCTCTATTGTTCCTGGAAGTTACTGGCTAGTTCTAGGTTCAAATAAGAGGACAAAGGCATCAGAACCTGTCTCAACTTGGCCTTTTTTACGGAAAGAATATTCCATATAATATAAATATCAGGTCCGTTTCTTTTTTTTTTGCTCTATTGTTCCTGGAAGTTACTATATTTTATGTCTTTCAATTCATAAAGAAATTAGTTTGAAAGTTAAAATATTATTTAAAAAAAGTAAGCCTAAAATATATTAACAGGATTGTTCCTGTGTACTTACATCAATTTTTTATTTTTAACTTAGAAAGAAAACAAGAGTTTATATTAATTTATGTTTTTAAATTCGAAAAGAAATTTGTTCAAAAGTTAAAATATTACTTAATAAAAAGTAAGGCTAAAATGTATTTACAGGATTGTTCCAGTGTACTTACATCAATTTTTTTATTTTTAACTTTGAAAGAAAACAAGAGTATACTAATTTATATGTTTAAATTCTAAAAGTAATTAGTTTGAAAGTAAAAATATTCTTTAAAAAAAGTAAGGCTAAATTTTATAAATAGGATTGTTCCTGTGTATTTACATCAATTTTTCTAAAATTTTAACTTTGAAAGAAAACAAGAGTGTATACTAATTTATATGTTTAAATTCTAAAATAAATTAGTTTGAAAGTAAAAATATTCTTTAAAAAAAGTAAGACTAAATTGTGTAAACAGGATTGTTCCTGTGTAAGTCAAATTTGTATTTTTTGATTTTTAACATAAAAAGAAAACAAGAGTTTGTATTATTTTTTGTAATGTTGTAAATAATTATATTGATTCAATAGATACAAATATTTGGTCTAATTTTAACAGTAAGTTATTACATACAAATTTAAATTAGGTGCTTAAATCAATTTATCTTCTCGGTCAAGTCATATTTTACTTGTTAGGCCACATCATGATCAAGAACATACTTTTTTCCTTTTAACGAGGAAAAGTTAAAGTAGGTGACATATGGCTAGTAATTCAGCTAAAAAATGTGGTTGTTCCCAGGATCATGTGGTGTATAATTAGGCCGCTTTATGCAATTATTCGCAGTGAAATTTGGCAAATTTTCAGTTTTATATTTTCATTTTATTCCATTAATCAAGGTTCTTTATAAATATTTTAGTTTTTAATTGAAAAAATCACATGATATTGGTTTTATGTTTACGGAGAAACTAATGGATGGCGTAATTCCAACCGATCTGAATCAATTTTCCCCAGATAGAAGAAATATGAACGATGAAAAACAAAT